AGAACGACCGGGAAATAGAAAAACCTTGTGGTGTCCGTTGAAATAACTCATCGATAAGAAATACATTCAGGTTATTTAACAAAGGCAAAGCATGTTAATAACATGTGTGTCATAATTTTTTTGTTTGTCATCAGAAAATAGCAAAAGCTTATTGGTGTGTGTCAAAATGGTTTTAATCAATTAGCCACATTCCCGCGATACTTAATAATGATGAAAAATCAAATTGCAAATTCAATGATGGTCAATCTGTTACACACTTTTATCATTTCATTTAATTGAAGGATACCAGACCGATTGATGAATCAGTTGCTTACCACGACAGAATATAACACCATATTAATTATCAGCAATTCGATGGTGGACGTTTTGCAAATGATGGAAATTTATTAGTGCCGTATAGAAATGCCGTTTTAAAGCCAGATAGCGGTATGGAGACGGTAAGAGATTGTAACCAAGGTAAGATTCTGGTACGAAATCAGATACTATTCTTTACAATACATGTCCCATTAAAGGTTGTACAAGTTCCTAGAGTCTAAAAAGATGCAACTAGATCTCTTGAAAGGAATCCAATTGTTATTTAAAATTCAAATAAATACGGGGTGAGTTATTAGTATCGTATATTAGTTATTAGGTCGATAGTTACTAAACCGTTTGAAAAACAGAAAAATATTTTATACAAAAGTTGTTTGACTCATGACTTTCTATTACGTAAAATTATTTTCACTTATACAGGATGTTCTATTTAAGCGTAACGGAGAGTACATACATTTATTTAAATGGAACACTCTGTATATTTGATCATATTATGAATACAACTAAATTTGTTTATACAACCGTATATGTTACTATTTCACAGCATTCATAGTTCCTGAGATATTCAATTGTTCTTCCAAAATGTGTCCATTACAGGATCTTTTTAAAAATGATGTAAAAACGACATTTTTTCCGATTTTGCCTGGAAACTACGTCAGACAATAGTCAAAGCCAGTAGGTAGATGATAGTATTTAAAGATATTAGATACAATGTACAGGGTGTTTAAAAGGCTCAGTTAGTTTTGATGTTTTTCAAACGGCTTTTTCTTAAGTTTTTTAAATGGAACACCCTGTATGTTGTGTGCTAGTTGAATTGCTCATCAAGTTAATTGTTAATCCCTTTAATTAATGATAAGTATGTCATATATTTAACTTTAATTGTTTTCCTGATATTTAGAATTTAAAGAAAAATGTGTAATAAAATGTCATTATTGTACTTAAAAAACTGACAGAATGTAAATATATTCTGTCCTTTTTTTTTTCTTTTTTGTTTGTCTGTTATTAGTAAATCAGTAATATTGTATTAAAATACAAATTAAAAAAAACTTTAATAAAGAAATAATCAAAACGTGATAAAAATATCAAGAAATACAATTAAATGGTAGAACAATAAGTCCCTTTTTTAATTACTAAGTTATTTGAATGAAACGCAGCAACAAACTATAAACAATTACTAAACGTTCCTCAACAAGTAGATATTAATTTAATTAATACTTAGAAGTTGTTCAAAATGTCGCACATTTTCTCTTCTACAAGCATTAATGCGCTGTGTACAAGATCTTGATGTATCTCTTGACATGTGCATCTTATTTTCTCTAAAGTCGTAAATTATGTGGCAGAACAATTGCATATTTTATTACTTACATCTTTTTAAATCTCATAAAGTACCAAGTCGCATTAAAATCTGGTATATCGGAGCAAAATTATATTACATTATAAAATATTAATCAAATAATAAAAGGAAGAACAAAAAAACTGATAAAAATAGACAGAATATAATGTTAAGTACAATAACATATATTTTATTACACATTATTCTTTAAATTCTAAATATTAGGAAAACTACTGAAGTTAGATATATGACATACTTATCATTAATTAAAGGTAACTTGATGGGCAATTCAGCCAGCACACAATATACAGGCTGTTCCATTTAAAAAATTTATGAAAAAGCCATTTGAAAAACATCAAAAGTAACTAAGCTTTATGAACACTCTGTATAGCGTATCTAATATCGTTGGTTACTATCATTTATCTACTGGCTTTGATTATTATTTGACATAGTTTCAAGGTAGAACTGGAAAAATGTCGTTTTTACATCGTTTTTAAAAAGATCCTGCTATGGACACATTTTGGAACAACAATTGAATATCTCAGGAACTATGAACGCTATGAGTTAGTAACATACAGCGTGTCCCGTATCTTCCGCATCAGAGCATTATACGGTTGTAGAATACATTATTCTGAAGCGATCTTTCTAATAAAATTTTTTCGAAATNATTAATTTAATTAATACTTAGAAGTTGTTCAAAATGTCGCACATTGTGTACAAGATCTTGATGTATCTCTTGACATGTGCATCTTATTTTCTCTAAAGTCGTAAATTATGTGGCAGAACAATTGCATATTTTATTACTTACATCTTTTTAAATCTCATAAAGTACCAAGTCGCATTAAAATCTGGTATATCGGAGCAAAATTATATTACATTATAAAATATTAATCAAATAATAAAAGGAAGAACAAAAAAACTGATAAAAATAGACAGAATATAATGTTAAGTACAATAACATATATTTTATTACACATTATTCTTTAAATTCTAAATATCAGGGAAACTACTAAAGTTAGATATATGACATTCTTATCATTAATTAAAGGTAAGTTGGTTTGCAATTCCACTAGCACGCAATATACAGGGTGTTCCATTTAAAAAACTTGTGAAAAAGCCATTTGAAAAACATCAAAAGTAACTAAGCTTTATGAACACGCTGTATAGCGTATCTAATATCTTTGGTTACTATCATTTATCTACTGGCTTTAACTATTATTTGACATAGTTTCAAGGAAAAACTAGAAAAAATGTCGTTTTTACATAGTTTTTAAAAAGATCCTGCATTGGACACATTTTGGAACAACAATCGAATATCTCAGGAACTATGAACGCTATGAGTTAGTAACACGGTTATATAAACAAATCTAATGCTATTCATAATATGATAAAGTGTATAGAGTGTTCCATTTAAAAAAATCTACATACTCTCCGTTACGCTTAAATGGATAAGTGAAAATAATTTTACGTAATAAAAAGTGGTGAGTCAAACAACTTTTGTATAAAACATTTTTTCTTTTTCAAACGGTTTAGCAACTATCGTCCGCCGGGATACTAATAATAATTCACTCTGTATATAAAAATAAACATATAACATCACAAATTATAGGGCTTTATGTAGATAAAAGAGAGGTTCTTCTTCACAGCCGGTAGAGTTGATGGCCAATACACTATAGAGAATGTTGCATGTTTATCAAATGTTAGTGATCACCTTTCGTGGAAAGAAATTCATATACACTGTTTTATAACAGCGTTTTATAATGTAACACAGAAACAATTTTGTAACACAACATTACTCTAAATAAATTTTTTAGCTGCTGTGAGGTATTTTGTGTAGGAACTTTCTCTCAAGCAGTTGTTTAGATGCATTGAAGAGCTCAAAATAGAATTATATTTTTATAAAGATTAAAAAATCGAGTAAATAAGAATCATATAAATAACCTCCTATAAATAATTAAATTTCGTATTTGTGGAACCACTCTTTTATATTTATTTTTAACTCCTTTCGTGTACCTCATATACGGTTAGTTTAATTAAGTGTCCGCGAAAGACGTAATTACGAGGAGACGTGAGTTCGGTGAGAGGGTCGAGTCGCGCAAGATGAAAACGAACGAAACGAAACGAACGGACGGCGAAATGTAATTTACCATAATTCATAATTGATGTCAGTTAGTGAGAGGCGGCTCACGCCCCTCGGTAGACCGTATAATTAAGGCCCTGTTAGTAGCCGGGTCCGATTGGCCCCGGTCATATATCATCACGGCTAATCGGGCGCCTCCTATCTCTCAATATAGCCATGAGTTGGACCATGGAACGCACAATAAGAAGAAAAATCAATACGACGAAGATGGTAATTTGTTCTTTGCTTCTTCTGAAGCTCTTTAGTTAATGTTTAAATAAACCCCACGTGGAAGATCGTTACGTTAGATTGACAGGATAGGTCTAGTTTTACCTAGTTGCTTTGGCTCATTTGCATGTCACACCTAATAAAACAACGCAACAAGATTGTCGACGTTAACAGTCCATTTATACAACACGTTTTTAAATATTTTATAGGTGTTCGCATAATATAAGTGATTAGCATAATATTAAACTGGTTAGTTTTGCTATTAAAACAGCTTTCTTATTATTACGTTGATATCTTCATCTTTCCATTGAGGGAGTTTGGGCTGCATCGCAAATTATAATGTAAGTACGTACTTGTAAAGTTTAAGTAGTAGAAGCCGTTTTCTCCCATTGAATTTAAACGTCTCTACTAATTGCTGTATGTAATCTAATCTCAGGTCTTTATTAAAAAATAGAAACTTGTCAAGTTTAAATCAATTTTTTTTTAAATATCTTATGTAATTATGTACATTTTAAGTATGGACCTAAGGGAATTGAAAAAGATGTTGAAATATCTTATGGTATAAATTCACCAATGCTCAATAACCTTTTATACGAGCATATCATAAATCGCGGTTTTGCACAAAGGCCACACCTTCCTCATGACACATATTCACCATTCAAAGCGATTTCAAAACGTCTTAAACGGCAATATAAAGTTTTATAATGTCGTCGTGATTGACGCGCCTAATACAGAAACCAGACGACCAGATAAGAATCTAACACCCCGGACAATATTTACCTTTTCCCCTCAAAGGAAACTTCAAGGCAACTCAAAGACTCCCACACAAGCCCAACTGTATGTATGTGCAAGATAGATATGGACTATAATTACTCACGTTTTATTTTGAATAAAAAAAGATGGATTTGATATTTCTTTTAGTGACATCACCGTTTCACATTGAATTTTATCGAAAACGAGAAACCGTCGTCGATGAGTTCTTTAAAAAGAGCCGAGTGTGGTACTTACAAGAGGCGAATAGAAGGCCGAGCTCTCCACTCCTATACTGGGGTAGGGATTTTGGTCCGTGGAAGGATAAGGCGTGCCATACACGCCCACGCTCCTTGGATATTGCAGGGCCGCCAACCGCGCTGAGTCGTACTGGCAGGAGCAGACACTTTGACCCGTCACCGGATCCGTCACTAGAGGTCGACCCGATTCACAACATTGCGTGGGACCTGTCGATGATGTTCCACCAGGTGATAACGCACCAGGCCCTCCTGCTGAACCACCTGGACTTAACGAACTTCCACCGGATACCGGGGATGAACCAGAATTTGTTGTTGGTTGACCAGAGACTAGAAGCTGTAAAGAGGAAATTTTATTAGATTAGCTCAACTATAAGTTCTGCATTAATAATGATAGGTTTGTAAGCCTTTCACTTCAAAGAAGTGTAACATACAACTTCCTTCATAAATATATATATAAAATTTATTATATTTTCAAGACACAACGTTTCAATTGGATTATGGTTGATTTGAATAGTCTCCTTTTAAGTTTTGTGTAAAGTTGTTAATTGGTTACTATGAAGTACAAATAGACGATTGCGTTATTAGCGGGAAAGAGAATTTGCCGCACCGACACCGCTAACAAGTGGAAGTTATAAATTACAAACTACACTTGGAGGCATTTGCATAAAATAATTAGTGCGCCAAGTATGTTAGAGGAGTTATTTCGCCGTCATCTGCGCGTAGAACGTATTAATACACCTACTTAGCCACCGTTGAGAAGAGAGATGGAATACCAAAAGAGAGGTTACAAGAGAGGAAGATAGGGATGAAGTGGGAATTGGAGGGGTTTTATCTGGCGTATATGTACACAACGCTTAAATATAGAAGTAACATCTGGACGGTCGACGCAGGTCCATTATTAAAATAATTACATCGTGCTTTAATGGACGTTAAGAATATTAAAAAGCAGTCGAAAAGTGCACGCGAATATACGGGCTAGATAAACACCGGCGTATATGTTTGCCTTCTACTCGACACGTAGGTGAATTATACCATCGTTTCCATTGCACGTTGATGCTTATATGGGCAATCTACCGGTCTACTATCTTGACAGGTTACCCAAAATGATTGACAGCAAGGAAATTCTATTCCAATCTTAGTTCAATAACCAAACAATATAGTAATCTAATAGTAACATAAATCATTTTCTCAATGTTTTTTAAATCATAAGCACAAATTATAATAACAGAATACAACAAATTTCCCATTCCCATAATATAGGTAATAATAATAAAGGCTTATTCGATAGTTTAACAAAATTGAAGACTTCTATAATTTTTTATTTTTCAAACTGGGCTTAAAAAAAAATGTAAATTTAAAAAAAACTTTGGTGACGTCACCGTCGTTTTGTACGCGATTGGTTGAAATTAAAATCAATAAAAGAGATGCCACAAGAATCTTATGCGCTAGAAGAAGAGATCCGAACGATGCACATTTGTGTCTTCTTGATTTTACGCGAAAACTTCGTAAACGTCACCAAAGCTTTTATAGAGCGGATTTTGAATTTTAATATTAATTATTGCAAAAATTAAACAATTTTAGAATCTGAAAATGTTACCATTTTTACACTATTTTATCTGAAATGAGAGTTATAATAAACGTTGTATACTATACATATATACTAATTATTGTCTTTTCGCCAGTTTTAAATGAGTAAACGGAGAAGACGGACGAAGCTACAGTTAAGTAGACCTTTCTTATACCGCGGGGAAACCCTAATTAACGGATTAACGACGGTTTAAATTTTAATTTATACTGACATTACGTCGGCAAACAACCTTTGTTTCTCGGCGATGAAAAACCTTCGCAAAAAGCGGTACCGAGTTTACTTACTACTATATTTTCAAGGTAAGTTATAAACGGCTATAAATTTTCCAACGGTTATTTTTTTATTAGAAAATTGTAACAATGGTGTAATTAACGAGGTGATAATTATCTTTGGTATGCAAATTGGGTTCTTTTAATTTTTTAAGTTGAAATTTAAATTTCTTTGTTGTTCAACAACGATCAAAATATACATAATAATGTAAAATTAAATGGTTCGAATCCGATTTACATAAGCATGTTTTTTTTTTAGATAAACAACGTAAAATAAGGTGATGATGAGTTGATGTATTTGGAGGAAACAAAAGTTGTATTAAAAGTTATTCTATTGAAAAAAAATTAATAAGAAAAAATAGATTTAAAATTCCTTATTAAAACTTTAACATCAATCAAATTAGCATAAACAAGTCTTATCTTTTCTATATACAGTTAGAGGGAATTTAAAATTCTCGTAAAACTACTTCAGTTTAATACTTTTATCTCAACACACGAATATATTATGTTTTAAATTTATTTTAATCACGCTTTTAATTATAGTTTTACGTTAATTAGATATATTTTAATGTGGATGCTCTTTCTTAATATTTTTAGTACTAAAAGGATTTTATTTATGGAAATATAACTGTTAACCTGTTTTTAACACACTAATTTAATTTGTGTTTTTTAATCTTTTTATGTCACATTTTTTTTTATTTCGAAAAAACTCCTATTTATTGTAATATAAATTACAAACATTACATCAAATAAGAAGGCGATTTTTTAAATTCTATTTTCTTGCAAATAATTGGTGTGATTATGCATATTTCCATACCATGATTAACTGCATCTTTTTATGTATGATTTCTATTCGAAGAATTCTTGTGGCTTTCAGTTGTAGAAAGTGTAGAAACATTTTCTTGCTACCAGAAACATTTAGTAAAAGAGCACTTACATTGATCTAGGAATTAAAATGGAAATTTACGGTGGTCATTCACCATAAAAAGCGTGGAACTTTTAGCACGTTTGAAGAAACCTTCAAGATTACGATTTAAAAATCGCCATAATTTTCATAAAATTCATACCGATTAACTCAACATTTAATTACACTTGTAGCCAACACACAATTAATTAGCGGAGTTACACTTGTTTATTGTAATTTCAAGTTATTCAAAGTCGTGATGAGGAATAGTTTAATTTGCTGATTGTAGAGATGAAGAACCATACAAATTGTGATAATGACCATTCAATTAGCAGTTAACTGTTGCAAACTTCTCTACCACAAGTCGCACGGTATTCATAGGCAACATACTATGATTATGTACTCAAAAAATCCGTTTGTACAAAAAACTTTACTTATAACAATACTCAAATTTAAACACTTGAAAAACATAATATAACATTGTGCGCAAAATATGGAATTATTGGTTCATCGGCCCACATTTCATACAAACATGCTTTGCAAACAGAGGATTTTAAGAAAGATTTTAACAGATATCGTAACTCTTCCAGAAATTTCTAAACTTTTTCTTGCATTAAAAAAAATTATGCCTAACGAAGCACTCCAATTATTAGCCCCCACCTAAATATGATAGTGATGATATTAGAAAGTGATAATGAAGACACTGACTTTTCTCACTCTAGAAATGAATACAAGTTCTTGCCTACCCGCCAAAATATATGGCCAAAACAATGCAGTATGCAGTATTACGGCATAATTGTGTATTACCAAATGGATAAATATCTGATGTAAAGGAAACAAGTATAGCTAAATAGTAAAAGTGGAACAAGAAATCGTAAACACTCACCACAACAAATGACAATTATGGAATAATTCTCAACAAAACACTTCAACAAAAAATATTTTTCAACATTACATTTATTACAAGTATGCCAAATGGAACACAACAAAAGAGAATGACTCATACATTCCCAGACTGCAAATACAGCATTTGATTTTTGTTGCAAGGTGTTTACACTTTATATGTTGCAGTGTGTTGTCAATGTTTTGTCAATTTAAATAATGTAGAACGACAAAGTTGTCGTCTAAATAACTGTTAAAACAAGTTATGATTATTATGAAATCGGTGTACAAAAAATTATGTCAAATTAAGTATATCTAAAGTGACAAGATTAGTGAAGATGGCAACGCGCTAAAACAAGTTAAGTCACCATTGCTTAGAGTATAATAAGTCGATAAAATTAAAACATAATTGCTTTTTATTTGTTGAAGATTTTGGCTTTCTACACAAGGAGATACTCGTCATAGATAAGTAAGTAAACAACCTCGTGAATTCGGTTTCATTCTTGGCCCTTTTCTTAGACCTATCTTATGCAAAAGACTTCAACAGAATTAGTTGAGTAGTTTCGTTAATTTTGTATTTTAATTTTTTATATCTGGAAAGTTTCATAGATTTTGTGGTTATTTTCTGTCAAAGGATTTGTCTATAATATCATTTTTTTTTTCAGAGAAATTGTTCAAAGCAAATCGGATCAACATTTTCTAATGTACCGTTACCGCTTTTTACATATTGGTGTTGCATCAAGTTTAGTTTGACTACCAGATCAGAATTTAGAATAGTTCTCTAATCACAATAAATCAATTTTTTACTGAATATAGAGATGCACCATTTCGTATTATTTATTATTATTTATTACGACGATGAGGGTTTTAAACTTGATTCGATCATATACAAGTTTATGGCGATAAGCTCCATGAGCAGAAAGGTCTTAGAGGAGCTATGTAAAAAAAAACCTCCAGATTATAGTAAACAACCGTGAGGCTTCTTTTAGGTTCAGGTTGGGTTTCGTGCTCATTAAAGTGTAATTTATCTTGTATTCAGCTACAAATTTTACAAATAACTAAATATATTTAGTTGAACATATTTCAACATTTAATAATGGATACGTTGTATGAAATCAAAATGAAAATTTTTAAATATTGTGGGATTGTTTCAAACTAAATATTATTCTACTATAACGAGTGCACACCTGTCATTAGTCATCAGAACAAATATCGGTAATTTATTGTTATACAAAGATTAAATCCCTCTTAAAAAATCTATATTAAGTTATCAGATTATTATATATTTAGAAGGTATATATAAAGTAATGTAGTATTTATAAATTAAAATAAAATGTATTTTTGTGCTAGTCGCAAATCTAATTTAATTTTCACACAAGTCTTTAATTTTTTGTAATAATTTTTTCATATATATTTTCCGGTAGGTGAGATGTGAAAGTTGTAAAATGTAAGTGACATGTATATACTTGTTTTAGAATTTGAATACGATAATAATACAGATTATTGTAATGAATTATTTATAATGTACTGCTTCATCTCGCAGAAATATTTTCATGTTAATATATTTAATGGCCTAATAAAAAAACTGTAGATTTCCAATGATCCAAAGGTAATGATTATGGCAATCACAATTAATTATTAGTTAAGATATTTAATTATTGCAATGAAAAAAATAATCATTCTAAATGAACTTAAATTGTCGTTGTTTAAAAGATTGCGCAAAAAGTACCAAATTATAGTTTTAAGTATTGGTTAAATTGTAGAAATTAAAAAATTAATTGCTAAAAAACCAAAGCAAAATTGGACTCTTCCAAGATTGACTTAAAAAAAGTTGTTGATGAGTTATTTTGAAATTGTGTTTTTTGTCAAGATTTAAATCGGCAAAAAAAATATATAAAATTTATGCTAAAGTAGAAATTGATGACTGCCTTCACGCCCTACCTGTTATGCAAGATGTAATAGATATGGAATAAAGATGAATCCAATGTAGCAATGATATCGTGCAAAAAAGAACTAATGTATTGGGCAATACAAAACTGCTAACAAAAGCTTTAGCGGAAAGGATCTGTTAATTAACCGAGAAAGATATGAGGAAATTTATTAAATATTCTGGGTTGGGTATAACAAGGAATTTTTGTTTGGTTGAAGACATAAAAAAAGAAGTTTACTATAAATTTTCAGAATTAAGTTTTCAGAATCATCAAATTTTAATATCTGGACTTCTCCCGAACCCCGTTCGATGAGAAATAAAGAAATACAGTTGAAATAGTCCTTCCTTTTTTGAAATTGGTATTTTTAATTAAGAACGAATCATATCTATAACGAACATTATGGGCATCAATATTTGCTTGAAACTGATTTATATAACTATAACTTGAAGTGAGCAAGGTGAGCAGGTCTACTGCTCCAACAAAAAACGCTAGAATTATATGAAAACAGAAATTAGTGGCAGAGTAATAGCTTTTTGAGAAAAATAAGTTAAAATAGTCGCAAGTGATAATTTGGATTCTATGAATTCAAACAAAAATTTTTTGATTTTTTTATTTTAGACCATCTGAATAAACGGATAATCACGCCCAAAAATAATAAACTCGTTAAAATTGGTTGTTTTGACAAATAGACAAATATTGTTAATTTGAAAAATTTCCATTTTTCTAAGAAACCACATTATTCACTTAATTCCTATTATGTTAATAGAAATTAGAAATTTTACAGGTTTAGGACTGTGATAAATTAGTGTCTTATGCGCATTCTCAAATATCTCAATTATATTTATATATAAATGGACTAAAGTTACATTCAACATAACCGGCTCACTCAGAAAGAATTCTTTGCGATTTAACATATCAAAGAAGTCTTTTCTGTTGGTATATAAAAAATATTATACATAAAAATGCAAAGAAAATAAGTATAAAGATTCTTAGAGTGTAAATCTTTGTGTGGGGTGATTTAGCTTAATGGTTTAATTTTTAACAATTAAAGTATAATTATGTATTACATGCAGAGACATATCGTAAACTACATATAAAAGTTTGAATTACATTTTCAATTTGTAAAGTTCGCTGAAGATGACACAATGCGTCGAAACGTGTAAGAACGTATAATTGCAAACATCTTGGTGCTCAGTTTTAGACTTTACGACAATTTTAATGGTCGAAAATGGCCCAAACCTTAATCCTCTGTATCTTTCATACTTGGATATAGACCTATATATGTACATTTTCCGGTAAGTGAGATGTGAAAGTTGTAATATATATATGACATGTATGCGAAATGATTAAAAAATTACTATTTGTTTTCGAATTTTAATAAAACAATAATACGGATTATTGTAAAGAATTATTTATAATGTACTGCTTCAACATCTCAGAGAAATATTTTCATGGTAATATATTTAATGGCCTAGCCGGTTATTTTAAAAGTGGCTTTAATAAAAAAACTGGAGATTTCCAAAGTTCCAAAGGTATTTAATTATTGCAATGAAAAAAAAACAATCATTCTAAATGAACTTAAATTGTCGTTATTCAAAAGATTGTGCAAAAAGTACCAAATTATAGTTTTAAGGATTGGTTAAATTGTAGAAATTAAAAAATCAATTGTAAAAAAACCAAAGCAAAATTGAACTCTCCAAAGATTGACTTAAAAAAAGTTGTTGATGTATTTTGAAATTGTGTTTTTTGTCAAGATTTCAATCGGCAAAATTTATGTTATTGTAGTGCGAATTATAGTGGAAACACAAGTAAGATGTAATAGAGATGAATCCAGTATAGCAATGATATCGTGCAAAAAAGAAAGAATGTGAAAAACGGCTAACAAAAGCTTTAGCGGAAAGATGTATTAATTAACCGAGCAAGATATGAGGAAATTTATCCCCAAAAAATGACAAAATTACAACATTGAAAACTCCTTCAGCAAACTTATATAACGCCTAATTTCCATAAGTTTATTATCACAATACACATTTATTTATTATTTGCATACAGAATAGATATGAGTTTTTGAGAAACATAAGTTTAAACGCAAGTAATAATTTGGATTCCATGAACCGAAAATTAAACCTTTTTTCAAAACCTTTTCGACAATCAAACTCATTAAAATTGGTTGTTTTGACAAATAGACAAATATTGTTAATTTGAACAATTTCCATTTTTCTAAGAAACCACATTATTCACTTAATTCCTATTATGTAAATTGAAATTAGAAATTTAACAGGTTTAGGACTGTGATGTATTAGTGTCCTAAGCGCATATTTTTAATTTCATCGAAACGCATTCTCTCAAATATCTCAATTATATTTATATATATAACATATCAAAGATGTCTTTTCTGTTGGTATACAAAAAACATTATACATAAAAAGGCAAAGAAAATAAATACATATAGAAATTCAGAGTGTAAATCTTTCTGTGGAGCGATTTAGCTTCATGGTTTAATTTTTAACAACTAAGTATAATTATGTATTACATGCAGAGACATATCGTAAACTACATATAAAAGTTTGAATTATATTTTCAATTTGTAAAATTCGCTGAAGATGACACAATGTGTCGAAACGTGTAAGAACGTATAATTGCAAACATCTTGGTGCTAAGTTTTAGACTTTGCGACAATTTTAATGGTCGAAAATGACCCAAAGTTACGGCAAATGTGTACATTTTTAGGGAAATCTACCGTGACCAAAAAACCATACTTTGGTGAGATGGCTTTTTCCGGAAATCCGAATAACACAACAATTTTTTGAACTTTTTGCAGGTTTCTATCCGCCGGGCATTTTACAAAAATTTCTTGTTAATATTTAGATTTAATACATTGAAATCCCCAAAAAATTACAACATTCAAATCTCCTTCACCAAAGTTATATAAAGCCTAATTCCCACAAGATTATTTTCACAGTACATATTTATTTATTATTTGCATACAGAATAAATATGAGTTGATTCATAAAACATTTATCTACAAAAAAAAGTACTTAAATAAGATCTGTATGGATAACATCCAAAAGTTTTGGACAGCAAAAAATATATATTTTAAATATCCTTAGATATTTTGCCTAAAATATAGCAAAATACTTAGAAATTTTGGCTATGTTTCTAAAAGGCAAATTTTGAATTATGCAATAAATCTTTTGATAATCACAAAAAAAGTTGTTAATATTATCACCTCATCCATTGATAATAACCTTAGATCAATGATAAACTTCATAATCCAGAGATTAAATAAATATCGAGTTACCGTCGGTAGGGATAAAATAAACGTTACATAATTTGGAATAACATAAATAATGCATAAAGATAATTCCTACCTGAGATGCTGATGGATAAGAGTAACCAAATTGTGTATAAGCTGCCATCTCTCTTATAAAACAAAGAGTCTATCGCGCCGGTCATACACAGTTCCAAAAAAAAACAAACTTAAAAATATAAACTTAACTTCAAAGAAAAATTTTATTTGAAAAAACCAGTCACAACACGCAAAAAAAATAAAATTTATGTTTCTAATATATTCGCGCACCTCACCGCGTAATCATGGATAGCGATGAAAATAGTCTTTTAAGGGGTTGTTCATATAAGTACGTAACGTAATCTACGCGGTGCGCACCACAAAAACGACACACACCACTGACGTTCGACGTGAGCACCGCGGAGTGCCAACAGTGACTGGCGAAACGTTCCTACCCTCTTCTGCGACGGGAAGTGTGTCAGCCTCTGGATTTTGAGTCTGGGGCGGAGCTCTCCATAGCGACCAGTCGGTACATGGAAAAGGTGGATCGACGCGTGATGCGCGCGATTCCGTTCGTTCCCCACCAAAACTACGACCGATAGAAGGCGGATCAGTACCGCCCATTAACGCTTTAAACAGAGAGGCGATCTTGAGAGTTGAACTGAGAGTTTATGAGAGTTCGCGGATCCGGACAAATCCCACCTCGTCGGTCCTCCCGGAGTCTCTTTCTCTCTCTCGGGGCGCCTGGCTTTAGGGACGGGGATAACAAAAACGCTAACGGAATTTATTAGATACAAGGTGTTTGTCTGAATGAATCGCTCGCGTCATTTGTATTCCGATTTGGACGAATGATGCTCCACGGTTTTTACACGAAAACCCACTTTACACGTCTTCAAGAAGTGGGCCCCGTGTGGAGACGATCGTCCACGTGACAAGATTTTTTTTGGAAAACGTTGTTGGTTTTTAAGATATCGGACTTTTTAAAAGATATGTTTATTAAATGGACACGACATCAAAATCACACTGTTTAGATCTGATGATGAAAGGAATCAACATGAAAGCTTTTATGTAGGTTTCTTGTTTTTCTAAATTGATTATTTTTGTTTTTTTTTATGATAAATCGTTTAAGAGATTAACTTCATAATTTTTAATGCAATTAAAACTGACTTTACACGATTACTTAAAATGTATCTACAAATTAAAACATATTAACTTCATTTATTTTTTGCCTTAAATTAAAAATGATAAGAGTTTTTTTTTTAACAAAGTCAATCAAAAATTAAACAAAATTTATATTTCTGACAACATTTAATTTCTTCTAATAGTTTTTTATGTAATGAGTCTATAATTAAAGTTTTGAATAAGTAAAAATTAGTTGCAAAATAATCAAACAATCTTACAATAATCAGAAGTTTTCGTTTATGTGCAGAAATTCAGTCTACCCTTTGCTATACGTCAGTAAATTGTTCTTGTAGACAGCGGTAATTTATGTGGAATATAAATCATTCGCTACTCGCAGCTAACTAAGCACAGAGTAACTAGAACTGGGATTTGGGATAGTAAAGTGAAGCCCAATCTCTGTCTTTGTCTAATGAATGGAAATCCATATAGTCATTGATCTTTTTGTCGTCAAGTCTAAAACTACTTGCAGATGGCGTTATGTCCACTATTAAAGTTGGTGGTAAACACAAGATGAGTTAAAAAATATATATTTTGAACAAATATTTATAGGACGAAGATTTTTCTATTTTTTATTTAAAATTGTAACAATATCGCACCTTTTCTTCATAGAACTTATTATCAATTTAATTTAAGGCAGAAAAGTAAGTAAGTATTTATGGATATTTTATTTTTATTTCTCTACCGGTTTCGCCACATAATTATGGCATCTTCAGGAGAATACGTCAATGGTTACAAAATCATCCTATGATATAAGTTACTGGGCATTTCTTTATGTCTTTTCACCCTTAAACTACACTAAGAATCTTATAAAATTGCGATTAGAGATTATTAAATTTTATGAAGCGTTATTGTGTTGTGCACCTTGCCGTCAAAGTTGATTTGATGATACATCCATTTAAAGTGCAAAAACGAATTTTATTTACATCAAACATAAAATGGAAAGAAAATCATTGAATAATATTGATAAGTTTAATACTAGTACATCAGTTCAATAGAATCATAAGTATGTGCAAGTTCAAGATTATTTGCTAGCTACCTAATATACCACTGAACTTGAAGCCATTGACACTGTATATCATCTACAAACAAAACAGGAGAAAATCGATACTAGGCAGAACATTAATATAAATAATAAAGAATCTTATTATATTTTTTGAGGCAAACCAATCTAAAGATATTTTACATCACCGCTAGAATGTTTCCAAAAACACTTTTGAATGTTTTTAGCAAAAGTTGGTGAAATAATGATAAGTCTGTAATTAATCATTTTTTTAAGTAGTGATATAATTTAGAAGGATTTAATCTTTCTAATTGAAGTTGTTATCAAATTAAATTTTTATATTTAATGTTTCCTTATTCTTATTTGTGCAAGATAGACAATGTTTTCATGCACATCTTCTATGTGTTTACCTCAAAAAGCACTTTATTGCATCCGATGCCTAATTGGAACTTATGGGAGATAGGAGATGTTATTTATCGGAATCTTATTGATATTTTCTAAGATTGGTTAAGTAAAATGTTTGCCATAAGCTAAAAAAATTAAGACTTTTGGATTTGAGAACCCAAATTCATAATTTTATAGCTTCTGGAAACTACTAAAAACTAGCATAGTATAGATTTTTAGTTTTAATTAGAGGTAGTGTTATCACATTAATTTATCTAGATTACTATCTGATCTATTTCAGGTTACGTTGAATTATCGCGGTTTTTACAAATATTTATTTAGATTTTCATAACATGGTTTGTAACTTCACATAACACGTCATTAAATAGGTATCTATTTGAGGAAATAGAGAGATAATTTTAGAGTTAGGTACTCATTTAATCATGTTACGAATATGGCAAGTGCCTCAAAAACAATACAGTGAAGATAAAATGTATCCAGAAGAATTTCTGCGGATATCAACATACTTATCATGTAAATTGATACAATATCAACTTCTTTTACCAGTTTCTTATCTAATTGTTAAATTAAAAACTGTAACTAGACTGAAATGCCTTTGGCGATGGTTGTTGGTGTAACAAATTATTCTGATAATACCATCACGTCTTAGATTAACGATCTCGAATAGGATGGACTTATATGGTGGGCAATAAAATTGGCAGCAAGGTAACCAAAATTTACATAGAGTTTGGAGCTTCACTAAGATGATTAGCATCGCATTAGCTAAACAATTTAGCAGACCATGAACAATACTAGTGGGAAAGAAACCTGGATCGACACAGATCCGTGTTAATTACCAACCGCAAATGACTGTATTAGCTAATAGAACATGAAGCATAAGTTACGGCTCACTGACAACAACTTTAAGCGATTAATAGAAAGTGTCTTAAAAGTTTTATCGTGAAGAAATTGTCGGGTATATCAGGATGTTGTAATCGTGACAGTTTAGAAAGCATTTATAAAATTTGGCAGGATTCTGTTATGCATCAATTTAAAACTTACAAAAATGTGTAGCATCTTGCGTTCTGTGTAAATATTTAAAACAAATGAAAGCAATTTGGCAAAACTTACAGTTGTCCAAAAGCTTTTATGACACATCGTACTCTTTACTAACACTAATAAAAAGATGATAAGATGTATTACTAATCCGTATAAAAATTGTTACCTAAAATATGACTTCATGCAAGTCCAACGTAGTATCTAATAATAGTTTTGTACAAAAATTTGTTGTACAACTACTAATAATTTTTCGCTATAGACATTATTAAATCAACAGTTTTTAATGTTCTCAAGCAAGCAAATTTGGAGGTGTATGAAAAACCGTTATTAATCACTAAAATATGTTAGACTACAGCTTTGCTTATTGCATATTAACCAAAATGATTTTATTTAGCCCTACTTTGTTTTAAATGAAAGTCGGCCATGTTAAAGTAGAAAAAATATGTATACATGTTACCAGCAATCTCCGTTACACCGGCACACCTAAGATTGACTAGGCAATTCGCAAATTGCCCGAGCATTTTTGACCAAGTCCGAAATAACTTTTAATTTCGGGATTTGCCTAGTATGCAACTAGGCAAACTTAGGTGTGCCAAATGAGGCGCAGGCAAAGTCCGAAAATTGTAAATTAATTTCGGACTTTGCCTAAAGTGGGTCAGGCAAATTTGGGTTTCACGTGTTTACCAGGATCATCTCACTAAGTTTATAATTTTACGTCCATTAAAGACGAAGACAGAAGAGGAAGTGGCTTACACATTATTGGATGTTTTTTGTATTTTGGGGACTCCCAGCATGTTGTAGTCGTACAACCGACGAGAGTTTGCTAATCGGGTAGTTGAAGAGTTAAGGGAAGTGTGTTAAGGGACGTAGAAGATATGTTATTTGCGTGGATGGAAAACAATAAGACTAAGCATTAGAGCGAAGGTGATCGTTTTTGTCAGCTTCAGAAAAACAATGCACACCATAGCGAAATACAACAAACACCTTTTGAAGCGTTGTTCGGTAAGCAATAATTTCAGTTCAGTACAAAAAAAATAACAGTTTCTATTTCATTAAAGGAAGAAACACTCATATCGGAATACAGTTATTGCCTGAATCTATCAAAAAAGTTCTTAGAACTAAAGATCTTGAAGAAGCACTTGCAACTACTGTGGAGCAGGAGAATTCCACTCGTGGTCCTAATGTAAAAAGTTTTGGAGGATCAACTCCGTTTCCTGATGGTGAAAATACTAAAGAACAACTCCTGCCCTTGATGTTGACATGGCAAAATTAGAACCTGTTTGTTGCATATGCGTAAAAGAAACTTTAGGAGTCCACAAGTGTTATAGCTGTGCTCAAGATGTTCATGTCGTCTGTGCCCAGAGTAGAAGTAATACCAACGAGGGTTACAGAGCATCAGTTTTATGTCTTCGGTGTGCAAAAAGAAAAACGATGACTTTTAATCAAGACTTTGGAACCACGGACATTGGAACCAAGAAAGGAATTATTGTCTCGCTGTATTTGAGAAATCAAATTCAAGCGTGTAAAGACACACTTTTGAAAATTTAAGACATCCCAGAGACTGAATTCTCTCTGCGTCAGATTAGTAGCCAAAACTCTGCCTTCGGGGGGCAAGGGTTTTTGAAGTGTAACTGCAATAGGAAATGTTAAACAAATTTATGCAAATGTAAGAGCGCTAAAGTGCTTTGCAACTCGAAATGTCACCATTATATATTTCCCATATAATTTTACGTATTGTTATTTTTGTATGTTGTTTTTTATTTACAGAAATAGAGGAGTATTGGGAAAATTCCAATTCCGTTATTTTTGATGTTAGTTAAGAAGCCAAAGGGTACGCACACATAGACAGCTTGTTGAAACGCTGATAGCAGTAA